TCTTTGAAAGATCTTTGAAAGATCTTTCAAAGAATGTGGGAGCGGATCCTTAGAGTTTTCCGGTGGGAAACGGTTTGTTCCTTGGCGGTTTCCGGTCGGTTCCTGCGGGTTATTGTTTTTTTCCCGTAGATTTCCGTCAGCGGGAAATTCTCGGAACGCTGCGTTTCCGGGTACGAGAAATTTCCGGCCGGAATAGTGCTTCCATGTTCCGGGTGTTTTTCCGGTCACTTCCGGCGGGAAAGACACCGGAAACGGCGGGAAGAGGCCGGAAAATACACCGTTTCCGGCCGGTTCCTGCAGGTTCCGGAGGCCGGAATGATTGACCTGGGAACAAAAGAAACATTTAATGATAAATAAAGTTTGGAGATCCAGGTCGTTTTGTAGGAACACCTGAATGTATATATGCATTGTACTTCTATTACATTACACAATGATGAAATTTTTAGCGTTTGTAGAGCTTTTAATTCTGAGCATTTTGAGAAAAAAAGTTTTTCGAAAAGCTTTTGTTTTGAAGGAAATATATTCAAAATACTAAGTAGTGAAAAACCAAAAAACGATTTTTTTGCACAATTTTCACAAACTGTTTTTTGATAGTTCTCTCAATTACGTATAGTATTTTAAGTCTATCTCCGTCAAAGCAAAAGCTTTTCGGAAAACTTTTTTTATCAAAATGCTCAGAATTAAAAGCTCTACAAACGCTAAAAATTTCATCATTGTGTAATGTAATAGAAGTACAATGCATATATACATTGAGGTGTTCCTACAAAATGACCTGGATCTCCAAATTTTATATATCATTAAATGTTTCTTTTGTTACCTCTGACAGTTTTCGACGAAGATACGTCCAACTAGAATATCAAAATCGAGAAAAAAAACTTTTTCCACAAGAGTGGTAGAAACTCCACGGATTCACCCGTATAACTTTTCAGTTGACATCAGACAACATCATTCTGTAATACACGTAATAGCATAATATGTTGTAATGATTACTTTCCAAAACTATGACGATCTACTTAAATCTTATCGATATACAGCAGAATTACCAATAGAAGCGATAAAAACAGTTAAATTCCTTTTTTATTTTGTAATTAATGTATACAGATTTTAATATTTGGTTCCTATTATGATAAGAGACTCTCAAGTTGAAAATAAAAACAAAAGGAAACATATAGAAAATAAAAAAATATATGTGTTCGGCAAAGCAGGCGCTCGACTATTGAAGATAAATGATTCATTTGGTCTTTGTTCTATTAAAATCATGAATACTTTATTGATAAAACAATTAATTTGAGTCAAATGAATGATAAAAATAGGCAAACTCAACTGAAAAGATCAAATTTTTAAATATACAGCTCTAGATTTATATTTGAGTTCGTTAATCATAATAGTGTTCACATAGAACTATCATAATCTGGATTCAAATCTGTTGACGAATAGTCTCTAATAAACTGTCCAATTGGTTTTTGTCGTTACTAAGTAAATCAAGGAGATGTTGGCGAGCTTTTTGTACTACACAATGCCATATGGTAGAATACGAAGCGAAACGTGTTTCCAATGTGACAATAACAATAGCCGAAATGAGAATTTGAACATTGTTGTTGAGTGATGAGAAACTTGTCAGAGGATTGCCCGTCAATTTTTCAATAATGTTTCCATCCAACTCCCATACGCCATCAAACTTTTGTTTGTTGATCAAATAGCGAACAATATCTTGATCGTCTGTTGGCCATGTCTCTTCTTTCTTCTCTATGTTGATATTGACCTCCTGCGCATCAAATAAAGATCTTCTGATTCTTCCAGATGTCCTTGGAGGACTTGAAGAGCTAGATGAACTTGTTTGCATCATCCAATTGTCAGTTGGTGACGGCGAGTGTCCTGATCGATATTTCACACAAGATGGTTCTATGGCGCATTTTCTACGTAAGGCAGAGTCCAAAAGCTCGAAGTAACTCTGTTCATCGACATCCAGTGATGGTGATTGCGATCGAGCAGCTGAAATATGCATGGTTGAGCACAACGTCATGTCGGGTACCGGTGATGAAATAGCTTCTCTCGACATAAGTTTAAGTCGGTTTCTTCGTGCACGCTGCATTCTTGGAGCAGGAGAAGCATTAATTCGATGCCTTGTTTGCAAGTGCTGATCGTCGGCCGAGATTTGAATAGGCACTTCACGTAGAACCATTTCAGCATTGCTTGCATCGGTGCGTTTTTCTACTCCAACAAATGCCGTGTATGGACTAAGGATTTGATGTTTAAGTGACAATTCAATGATTCGCTTTTTCATCATTTCCTTTTCATCGTTGATTGCTGTCGATGGTATAAGATGCTGAAATCGAGTTTGCAATGAACCGATCACATTTTTTTCCGAAATTTTACCATGTTGCAATTCGATAATGAGTGCTTTGGCTGCTAGTCGAGCAATGGTACCCGCATTACTTACATTTGGTACACGATCGATTATTGCTTCACCTAATCGATGTTGATCCATATACAATTCAACACTAGAATTGTGATCGAATATCGAAGTTTGATCATCTGTCAATGCATAGACAATGAGACGATGGTTGGCATAGACTGGTGGTGTTTTTGTTGGAGCACTTAATACTGATGTACCCAAATTTCATTTAACTTGAATATTAGTAATGCAAGATTGTAGAGCCTTTTGTAATTGTTCACCAACATAAACATCGACACTGCTCTTAGGTGGAATGAAAACGAAATGACCATTGGTTGTTCGTGCAAGACCTTTGACAAGTGAACGACTTGGTGAATCACCCAAACCAAAGGAAAAAATTCGGGCAAATGTTGACATTGAACGACAGAGATCCAATACTTCACTGACATTAGAAATCTCACCGTCAGTTAGAAGAAAGATTTGTCGAGCTCGACTTTGTTCTGGTGGATATTTTTGTAACCATTCAAATGGTTTCAACTAAAGTCAAAAGATATGATAAATAATAAATAAGAAACTGAGAAAGAGATCAAACCTACCAACTCAGTACCACCCATATCTGCTCGCATTGTATTAATTAATTGTTCGGCTTTTCGAGCATTTTCTTCATCATACATAGCCGTGATCTCGTTAAATAATGTTTGATAATTACTTCCAAATCGAATAATGTTAAAATGGCAATGAACTGGAAGACTTTTGAGAAAGAGAATCATCGCTTGATGTGCCAATTCAATCTTGCTCTCACTGCTCATTGATCCACTGCAATCGATAATAAACATAAATTCATTGGTTATTGTTGCATTGTTCATTGCACGTCGACAATCCTCATCAGTTGGCATGAACGAAGCCATAACAGCACCGGGCTCAATAGCAACAATGGTATTCGATCGATTTTCAGATAAGTCAATATCTAGAAGAATATCTCGATCTAAATGAGTATTTTGTTGAGCAAATTCAATAACATAAACATTTTGTTGTCCAACATCAACTTGAATCGAATGAGATGATGAACTAATTCGTGAAACTCCGATTTTATCCACTTGACAGTGAAATTCGATGGTGTAGGGACTCGATTGAACATATTTAGATGTGGTTCCAGCAGGAGAGCTGATATCACCTTGATTCGGATTGTAACGTGGAGCAATAGTGGTCGGAACAACGAACCGAATCGTTCGACCATTTTGAATCAGATCCAGTTCAGAGACATATGAGATTGTTATGCAGCATTCTTTTCCAGGTAGAAGAGCACCCACATTAATGATAAAATTGTCTTGTGACTTTTCATCTTGTTCGAGTAAATAGGCACCATGACCTTGTCGAAGAGCATCGGTGTATTCCTTCTGAGCTTCAGTCTTTTCTTTCAACTGTGCAATAATTTCTCGATCATCGATGTGTGCTACAAATCCATAGACAGCTGCTTGTTCTTCAATTGGAAAACAGTAAACTGTTTCAATTGGTATTGTCTCATCGTTGCGAAATACTTGTTTAATAGTTACATCGGCGGCGAAAGATTTTATAGTTGCGTCGACACTCACTTGTTTGAGTGGTACATACTCGTGCAATTGTCGTCGATTGTCGATGGAATCCAAGCTAGATTTAATTCGAAGCATGTTTAGCGAAGTTTATGCGTTTATTTTTATAATGGTCACCTATATATGTATGAAGAAACAGTAATGAAAGTATGAACGTCAAATAATAAGTTAATATTGATACAGAACGGCAAACCATATGTGACTCATGAAAAGCAAGAGAACACATGCATCAAGAAGATATGTGACTCAAGATTTGCGGAGAGTGGTGCAATAGTGAGTTATTGAGAAAATGACGGAGGTGAAAAATATTGCTCACTGGGATAAAATGAAAGAATCATGACAAATTCTACTTCCTAATAGTATGAAAGTGTCTGAGATAAAGTAAAATGGAAGCTATCTTGTTTGTATAGAACTTTCCATTACTCTAGAATCTAGAACGACTAAATCTATGAATTTCGAAAGAGATATGCACGTACTGTTAGTGAAGTGGTTATCGCGTCTGTCTTACTCACAGAAGATCGCAGATTCGATTCCTGCACGCGACACTATCATTCTTTTTTTTTCTTTGTGTTGAAATGAATTGAAGAAATCGATTTGATTCTTAGAATGTAATTTCGAAATAATTCTCAAATGAATGTCAATAGCTAAGTGTTCAAACTTCATTGTATTTAATGCTAATGAGTAGCAATGCTAAGTTGAAACGATTGATTGTAACAATACCTTAAATTGATCTCTCTTTCGATGTTCATATTTAATTCGAATTCTACTTTGAATGATATGATCGTATATTTTGATCTCCTGCGATGTAGCAAAGCTCATACTTCCATATTAGATTGGTATTGTTACATCTCCAGCTGCGAGATAGACGATATTATGAACTATTTTTTGTACGAGAAGCAAAGTCAATCTTCAATAGTGAAATATCTCTAATGATCCTATTGGCAACCGTGATCATCAGACTTTTGTCTCGTTTCGTATTGAACTCGAGCAAAGATTATTAGAATTCTTTCGCTATTAAATGTATATCATCTTTCGATTGTCATCGATAAAAAGTTCGACCACACATCTTCCTATGTAAAAAAAAACCTACCATGAAAACATTCATGATTGTAAATGCTAGTGTTATATATTTGCTAATTTTTCATTAGACTCACATTAGTTTTCACTAATGTTTGTTCAACACATGGCTTACCATTTATGATCCACTGACACATGTCAAGTTTTACCGATTTCACTATTGACTCGATCGATGACCTTACCATTAGATCAAATCTATGCATTCATATTAAGCTGAGGGTGTGGGTGTGAGTGTGAATCGTCATCTCTCCCACACCCACACCCTTAATCGATAGAATATGTGACATATTTATGCATGCTCGTTGTTATTGGAACAATGGAATATGTATATGCCTTTTTAAATATCTATTCTTGTTTTTATATTGTCATTCTTATTAGTGAGAATTGCAAGCATTTTGATATTTATGATAACAATTATAATACATTTTCATTAGTTTCAATATTAGTCTTTGAAATGATATGTATAAAGTTATTTGATATAGAATAAAAAATACGCATTCGATTCGTTCAATAGTATATACAATAATCTACAGTCTACTTGTGGCTTGCTTTTTCGATGCCTTTTATTTATCTTATTCATTGCTTAAAGAACACATCCATACCTATACCCTCTAATCGCAGATCTCGGTAGAAGATAATTTGATTATCTTAGACCTAAATTGTCAAGATGTGTTCACTTTTTGTACCTTGGATCTTGGTCAAGATCTTGCCTACAAGATATTTCACTAGAGTAGTTTGATCCTGCGTGAACGCATTATATTCTTTCGATAAACTCTTTTCAATTTCAATGTTCAGAAAAAAATCTCTTTCGATAAAGAAATTCTAACTTCAATCTTTTTGTTATATTCTTTATGATCATACAATTAAAAACATCACTTTTTTAAAGAAATTGATGTAGTTCCAAAAATCGACATTTGAACAATTAATGATACATTTTAATGAAATATAAACACTCATGAAAAAATCTGGACAGATCGTTGTATATTCTTCTGTTATCTTACAGAGAATATTAAAAGCGAATATGTAAATCTATATGTGAATTGATTGAGATGACTTGTCTTATTGAATCAATTCCCTGGTCGAACATCTTGTAAGCAAGATCTTGGTCAAGATCTTAGGTACAGAAAAGTGAACCGATCTTGAAAATTTAGGTACAAGATAATATGATTATCTTGTGCCACGATCTTGAATTAGATCTTAGGTACAGATTCATAAGATTTTAGGTATGGATCCTAATATCTGGGTACATGCCAGGATAAAAAGTGTTGCAGGTATCGTGATTTGCGACACAATCCATGGCACAATCTGAAAGTGTGATTCAAACCTATCATACAGTGTACTTATTATTTTTTTTTCTATAAAAGCATGTTATTAAATTTTTTCAATTTATCTTCATTTTAATTTTTCCTATTCCAAATAACTGAAGCAAGCCCGATCTTGGAACTTGCCTGTTCTTGAGATGGTTCGGTCTCCATCAGACAGCTTCAGGTAGTCCTCTCTCGATCAGCGATCAAGATCAGCAATTTCTCGAATGATTAATAGTCGAGAAAGAGTTTAGAAAAAAATTATTTTGAAAAATGTATGTTTCGTATGTTCAATCTCGTTGTTTATATACGGGTTTTTATACATAAAAAAAACGGTGAATGACTAGTCAATATGTAACCAATAAACTAATGATGTCGCTTTTTGTTTTTTTTCAAGATCTTGTGAGAAGATAATAGTGAATGATATAATTTCCATGATCTTAACAAGATCTTAAGCACAGATTTATCTGATGCATCCAAGATATTCACATAGAAATTATCTTTTCAAGATCTTCTCAAGATCTTGCCTACAAGATGTTCGACTAGGGTTGATCTATTTCGATGACACTTGCACAATTATCACTAGTAAAATAAAGCAAACAAACTTGCTTTTTTTTTAACATGTGAAATTACGAACGTTCTTTTCTGTAACACATTTAATTACTATGACATCATACTCAAAATAAAAGCTATAGTTAGAAACAACCTTTGATATCAGTTCGCGTGGAATTATTTATTTTATTTTATTTCTGCATTGTAGTTTATGACATTTAATGAAAAAAGCTTATGGATCATGATTATTAAGGGTACCCCCCCCCTCTTTTTCATGATTTTTAGATCTCAAAGACGGTTCAAC